ACTCCATAAGAGCATGGCCCTAATTTCTCTTTCCAGGCATGGAATATGATAATTTTCTTATTTGCAAGAAATATCAATTGCTCAAGGCGGACACATAATCATTGGGGAGGAAAGAAGAAGCTACCTGTGTAATGTGCTTAACAGGCTAACCCATTTAGCCCCAGGCGCTGTTTGAAAATGAGAAAGTGCTGATGGTCAAAATCAATTTTCTCTGTGTCCAAATTACTCCCTGCTTGGCTTAGAATTTCAACTAAATGGCCAAACCTTAAAACACTGATGCTAATTCTATCGTATTATGGCCTGGTCCTATAGTTGAAGCTAGTGCTAATGCTATTTTGCTGTATTTATTGATGTAGTGAGATGACTCCAAAGGCCAGAGATCAGAGAGTTCTGTTACTGCCTGAACGTCTGTGTGTGTGTGTCAGTGTGTGTACTCAGAAGTGTGTACTCAGTACTGTGTACGGAGTACTTTATACGTGTGTGTCAGTACTGTGTACGGAGTACTTTATACAGGTACATCTCAAGGCGTATTTTATGTTCGACTGTAAACAGAGATGTAACGGGCGACACGACAACGTAGCTAATGATTTTAGATTTACATGATAGTGAGACCCCTGGTGGAGCGATCGTTGAAAACACGACAAATGTATAATAAAAAATAATAATAATAAAAAAAATGATTTCAGTGATTTATACACAAACAACAAATGTAAAAATAAAAAAGTGACAAAACACTTTACTGCGATAATATCATTAAACTTTCAAAATAAAACATTTTTTCAGTCTTTCTCTCTGTCAGTATCAGAATCTGAATGACCTTTGACCTGTTGTTCTGGAACACTGACTGATGATGTTTGAATGAACACAGTAGAGAGACATGACTGGATTATTTTGGAATGAAGTAAAGTAGTAAAAACTGAAGTACATTTTTTCACTGCGGCCCAGTACCAAATAACCTACGGACCAGCACCGGTCCCCAGACCAGGGGTTGGACATCCCTGCTTTAGAGAAGAATGCTATTTCTAATTAGCTTCAAACAGCAGACGACGTTGGTCTCTGAGTCAAATGATCAAATGAATGAAGAGATTTAATTCCAAATTAGTGTTAAAATAAAATCTTTTGTCAGTAAATAATTAAACTAATATTGATGAATAATCCAAATAAAGCTTGACCTTAACTGTCTCTGTCAACAAAGGTCAGAGGAGAAGATTTCCCTGTTGGTAAAGTATCGTCTGATGTAATAGCTGGGAGCCAATCAGGAATTAGAACAAATGTGTCAAACAGCTTCT